AAAAGGGTCCCTGGCACGGGTCCTTAATCTTGAGATGACCCGTCTCTGGCTCCTGATGTTCGCCAAGACCAGGGTCCTGGCACGGTCTTAATCTTGAGATGACCCGTCTCTGGCTCCTGATGTTCGCCAAGACCAGTGTCTGGCACGGGTCTCTTAATCTTGAGATGACCCGTCTCTGGCTCCTGATGTTCGCCAAGACCAGGGTCTGGCACGGGTTTTAAATCTTGAGATGACCCGTCTCTGGCTCCTGATGGAGAATTGTTTCTTCACTGTTGCAGCATATGCTGCTCAAGCAACTGTTCCGGACAGTTCAACTAGTGTGCCTCATAAGCGACCATAATATGGTACTGAGGTACTCCATCTCAGCTGTTTCCTAAGCTGGGACTGGGCTCTGTGCGCTCTGATAATCTGAAGATTCATGGAATCCACTGTTTCCTCCTCTGTCTGTAAGCACACCGCCAGGAGGTGAGATGTAGGCCACTAGTAGAGGTGAGAATGTAGTTGTTGGGAGTCACGTCCCTCTCAAATCCAGCCATTCTCACTAGTAGAAGTTGTCCAAGTTGATTCTGTACCAAGATACCATTGTGTTGCAGTGTCTGACAGAGTGAATATTAAAATGGTATAAAATACGACCGGTTGTTAGGTAGGACAATATGCAACAGTTAGGCAACTTTATTTCGAAACGTTTCGCCTACACAGTAGGCTTCTTCAGTCAAGAACCCCTCATGGAAGGTTCCTTGATGTTGGTGAGGGGCTCTTGATTTAGGGAATTGAATCTGTGCTCCAGTTCCCCGAATTAAGCCTGAATGCCTTCCACATCCCCCCCTGGGCGCTGTATAATCCTACGGGTTTAGCGCTTCCCCCTTGATTATAATAATAATTCAGTCAAGTACAGAAAAGTTGATAGAAGCAGAAGAGACGTAAACACGATGTAATCAGTCGGCCTCTGCACTCCAGTAACATGCCCAGCCTTCTAAGTAGGTTTAGTAATGTTGGTAAATGTAGTAAGCAGAAGAGGCTTTGTCAAGTTATTTTAATATAAAAATCTGACAGCCACTGCCTGGAGGTTATTCCGGGGATCAAACGCCCCCGCGGCCGGTCCACGACCAGGCCTCCCGATGGATCAGGGCCTGATCAACTAGGCTGTTGCTGCTGGCCGCATGCAGTCCAACGTACGAGCCACAGCCCGGCTGATCCGGCACTAACTTTAGGTATCTGTCCAGCTCTCTCTTGAAGGCAGCCAGGGGTTTATTGGTAATTCCCCTAATGCTTGATGGGAGGCTGTTGAACAGTCTTGAGCCCCGGACACTTATGGTGTTTTCCCTTAGTGTACCAATGGCGCCCATACTTTTAATTGGGGGCATTTTGCATCGCCTGCCCAGTCTTTTACTTTCGTAGGGAGTGATTTCTGTGTGCAGATTCGGGACCATTCCTTCCAGGATTTTCCAAGTGTAGATTATGATATATCTCTCCCTCCTGCGTTCCAACGAGTACAAGTCAAGTGCTTCCAAGCGTTCCCAGTAGTTAAGGTGCTTGACAGAACTTATACTTGCAGTAAAGGATCTCTGTACACTCTCTAGATCTGCGATTTCACCTGCTTTGTATGGAGATGTTAATGTACAGCAGTATTCCAGCCTAGAGAGAACAGTGACAGTGTTTTATTAAGATGCATGTAATTATACTAGGAATGAGTGGAGGCAAGTGGTTTTTATGACTAGACGTGCTGTTGGAGTGCGAGCAAAGTAACATTTATGAAGGGATTCTGGGAAACTGGTTAGCTGAACTTGAGTCCTGGAGGTGGGAAGTACTGCACCTGTACTCCGAAGGAGGGGTGGAGATATGTTGCACGTTTTGACCTGTAATGTATGTACACCTCTGTGATGAGTGATGGAATGAGTGATGATTAAAGTGTTTCTTCTTTTACGGGTCACTCTGCCTTGGTGGGAAACGACCGATGTGTTAAAAAATTATATCAACAGTATCGTACTGCTATAACACTTGGAATTACCCATCAGGTAGCCTACCCGTTCCTGCACGAGGCTTCCTTCATCATGGTCAACACACCAGGCATTGACTACCGTCAGAGCTCTGTCCTGGGTAATGTCTTCAATCCAGCCTTCGTACCAAACCATAATACTGACTTCCCACGACCTTTCTCTATCTGGCATCGATTTATTAACACTCTAGTGCAAATAGCATTTGCTGTTTACTGGAGGAAGTGGGTCATCGTGCCTCTGGTACAAGACGAGGTATGTTGATTATATAGACAAAAAATTCGATCGACATAATTGTCAAACTGGTAATAATGATTGTCTTAGTACTGAATAAGAGTTATTGCAAGCTAATAATATAATTTCACTCTTGTATCTGTTATTATACATATGAAGCAAAATGTAAATATCATTCTTTTAATTTAGAAAAAATAGTTTTATCCTTTAATAAAATACTGGTGTTATTGGTCAGATCTCAGCACAGTTCCCGGAGCTGCCACCGTTGTTGGAGTTAGAGAGGAACATGAGTCTAGCACTGATGAACACACACTTTAGCATCGGTATACCACTGCCTCTCCTGCCCTCACAGGTGGAGGTGGGCGCCATGCACTGTCGCCCTGGTAACCCTCTGCCTCAGGTGAGTTGTTCTGGCTACCTAAGATAGTTGTCCTGACTAACACAGTTGTCTTGACTTCCTGACCCAGAACACTTGTCAGTCTCCCTGACTCTACTCTTATGGGCTCTTGTTACGTGTATTCTGACCAGATATAAACATGTAAACAGTTCATTACAACAGTTCAGCTATCTAAACTTTTCGGTACAGTCCCTGGACCCATTATGTACCTCTGTAAGATTGAGTTACAGTCCCTGGACTCATTACGTACCTTTGTAATGTTGAGGTACAGTCCCTGGACCCATTATGTACCTCTGTAAGATTGAGGTGCAGTCCCTGGACTCATTACGTACCTTTGTAATGTTGAGGTACAGTCCCTAGACGTATTGTATACCTCTATATTGTTGAGGTACAGTCTCTGGAAACATTACGTACCTCTAATTTTGAGATACAGATTCTGAATCTATTAAAAGCCTCTAGACCTATTATTTGCCTCTGTAATATTGAGGTAAGGGATGCATAATAAACATGTTAAACTAACTTGTTACATGTGTAATGAAAGAAAGGCTCGGGAGTTACCGTTGTATTGTCTCAGTGTAAATTTTTCATGTATAATCGCAAGATTTACACGACCCAGTTTCAGCAGCCAACAAAAGCCCCAATATTTTACTTTCTGCCTCCCAAACTTGTTTCCCTGTATATGCCCTTGTTCCTTATTTGACCCAAATCCCCGGAAGATAAACCCCCATACATTTCCCCCTAGAGGGGGAAATAAAATTTTTAAAAAAACTCCCCAAAAAGTACTTTTTTTGAAGCCTGATAACGGGTTTTAAAAATACAGGGGAACAGGAAGCTTAAAACCCCTGTTTCATATATAAAGATTTCTGAATTAAGGTTCCCAGGGAAAGAGTGGCCCGGTTAAACGGATTTTGTCCAGAGAAACAACTGCCACAAAAATTTAACCCCTTCATCGGAAAGAAAATAAGGAGCTTTTTAATGATAAAAAGAAAAAAAAAAGGAAAAAATTATGGACTGTAAACAAATCCCAAACAACCCAAACGTTATTTTCATCAAGTATTTTGAACCGTACATAATTTTGTGTGTGCTAATACTTTTTAAAATGACTGGCAGGCATGGCAGGGGGTCCCCAACCTTTCGTTGTGACCCCGCGTTGCCCGAAATGTCGTCTTTGCGGCGATGCTGTCCCTCTTGTTCAAACCGAAGATTTAAAAAATACAAATACTCTGGCCCCCTTGGGGACCCTTTCTTTCTTTTTCCCTTAAATTTTTTTAAATTTTTTTAAAACACTGTTCTAGATCAGAAAGTACCTCTGTCTGTCTCCTAACAAAAGGAGTTGCAGGTAGGTTCTGGTATTTCTTACCTATTTGTACCTACCTTTTTTCCTTTACCTGGTGGCTAAGTCCCGCTTCACACAAGGGGGCCCGGGGTTTGATTCCCGGGGGGGGAAACATTTCCCACCCCGTTTCCTTTTTCCCTGGTTTTTCCTTTCACCTAGCAGCAAAAAAGGTACCCCGGGTGTTAGTCGAAGGTTGGGGTGCACCCGGGGGGGCAAATTAAGGGGGCCCACAATGGAAATTTTGTTTTGACGTCCTCGATGACGCATGACTTTCTTGGGTTATCCTGGGGGGCAACCCTCCGGGTTTAAAAACCGGGAAAGAAATTTTTATTTATCTTACTTCCCAATTTAAAAGGGAAAGAAATTTTTACTCTGTCAACCCCTTTTAAAATTTTTTAATTTAATAAAACTTTTTAATTTTTAAAACGGGTTTTGTGGTAAAAACATTTTTAACTTTTGGGTTTTCCCCAAAACCGTTGTTTTTTTGCAGAAAGCCCGCAATCTTTAAACCGTTTGTCTGCAAAACTTCACATTTTCCCGCAAAATTTTAGCATTTTGTCTGCAAAATTTTGCCGTTGGTCTGCAATCTTTTTGCAGTTGTGTCTGCAATCTTCCGCCCTTTTTGTTGCAATCTTTTAGCAGGTTTTGGGGCTGCCCAAACCCTTCCCGCAGTTTTTGCTGCAAAATTTTAAACAGTTGTGTTCCTGCAAAATTTTAGCAGTTTGTCTGCAATCTTCAGCAGTTATGGGAAAAAATTTCCCGCAGTTATGCCCGCAAAATTCAGCGTTAGTTAAAAAACTTCAGCAGTTATTCCGCAATTTTTCAGAGTTAGGTTTTGCAAACTTCAGCAGTTGTGTCCGCAAACTTCAGCAGTTGTGTCTGCAATCTTCAGCAGTTATGTCTGCAATCTTCAGCAGTTATGTCTGCAATCTTCAGCAGTTGTGTCTGCAATCTTCAGCAGTTATGTCTGCAATCTTCAGCAGTTATGTCTGCAATCTTCAGCAGTTATGTCTGCAATCTTCAGCAGTTGTGTCTGCAATCTTCAGCAGTTATGTCTGCAATCTTCAGCAGTTATGTCTGCAATCTTCAGCAGTTATGTCTGCAATCTTCAGCAGTTATGTCTGCAATCTTCAGCAGTTATGTCTGCAATCTTCAGCAGTTATGTCTGCAATCTTCAGCAGTTATGTCTGCAATCTTCAGCAGTTATGTCTGCAATCTTCAGCAGTTGTGTCTGCAATCTTCAGTGAGAACTCTGCTGCCTCCTTCATACATTTTTAGGCCTCTGGAAGTTCACCTTGAACTAAGGTGTAACTTTAAGGAATTAACTGCAGTACTCACACTACAGAAACTTCGTTCGTTTTTTTAATCAATTAAGACTGATGGACTGAACCCATCGCTTCCAGAATGAGGGAATGATTACCTCATACTCCTCTTCTCTTTACACCGTATTCGACTGATGAAGCCACTGTGTGGGGAAACATTTCCTCAATAAAGATTCCCGTATGTTGCGTAAGTGTCTCAATCTTCATTTTATGGGTTTTCAAAAACATTTAAAACAGAAGTATGGAGGAAACAGTGAGTATCACACCACTTGGGGAAGAGTGTGAGGGAAGGTCGTGGTGCAGGGGAGGGTCGTAGTGTGTGAGGGAAGGTCGTAGTGCAGGGGAGGGTCGTAGTGTGTGAGGGAAGGTCGTAGTGCAGGGGAGGGTCGTAGTGTGTGAGGGAAGGTCGTAGTGCAGAGGAGGGTCGTAGTGTGTGAGGGAAGGTCGTAGTGCAGGGGAGGGTCGTAGTGTGTGAGGGAAGGTCGTAGTGCAGGGGGGGGGTCGTAGTGTGTGAGGGAAGGTCGTAGTGCAGAGGGTCGTAGTGTGTGAAGGAAGGTCGTAGTGCAGGGGAGGGTCGTAGTGTGTGAGGGAAGGTCGTAGTGCAGGAGAGGGTCGTAGTGTGTAGGGAAGGTCGTAGTGCAGAGGAGGGTCGTAGTGTGTGAGGGAAGGTCGTAGTGCAGGGGAGGGTCGTAGTGTATGAGGGAAGGTCGTGGTGCAGGGAAGGGTCGTAGTGTGTGAGGAAGGTCGTAGTGCAGAGGGTCGTAGTGTGTGAGGGAAGGTCGTAGTGCAGGGGAGGGTCGTAGTGTGTGAGGGAAGGTCGTAGTGCAGGGGAGGGGTCGTAGTGTGTGAGGGAAGGTCGTAGTGCAGAGGAGGGTCGTAGTGTGTGAGGGAAGGTCGTAGTGCAGGGGAGGGTCGTAGTGTGTGAGGAAGGTCGTAGTGCAGGGGAGGGTCGTAGTGTGTGAGGGAAGGTCGTAGTGCAGGGGAGGGTCGTAGTGTGGGGAGGGAAGGTCGTAGTGCAGGGGAGGGTCGTAGTGTGTGAGGGAAGGTCGTAGTGCAGGGGAGGGTCGTAGTGTGTGAGGAAGGTCGTAGTGCAGGGGAGGGTCATAGTGTTGAGGGAAAGGTCGTAGTGCAGGGAGGGTCGTAGTGTGTGAGGAAGTCGTAGTGCAGGGGAGGGTCGTAGTGTGTGAGGGAAGGTCGTAGTGCAGGGAGGTCGTAGTGTGTGAGGAAGGTCGTAGTGCAGGGAGGGTCGTAGTGTGTGAGGAAGGTCGTAGTGCAGGGAGGGTCGTCTAGTGTGTGAGGGAAGGTCGTAGTGCAGGAGGGTCGTAGTGTGTGAGGGAAGGTCTTAGTGCAGAGCGGGGTCGTAGTGTGTGGGGGAAGGTCGTAGTGCAGGGGAGGTCTTTAGTGTGTGAGGGAAGGTCGTAGTGCAGGGGAGGGTCGTAGTGTGTGAGGGAAGATCGTGGTGTTGTGGAGGGTCTTGGTGTTGGAGAGGTCGTGGTGTATGGGGAAGGTCGTGGAGCTGAGGAGGGTTGTGTTGAGGAGGGTCGTAGTGTGTGAGGGAAGGTCATGGTGTTGGGAAGGGTCGTGGTGTGTGAGGGAAGGTCGTGGTGCAGAAGAGGGTCGTAGTCTTCAAGGGAAGGTTATGGTGCACCGGAGGGTCGTCGTGTGTAAGGGAAGGTCGTGGTGCAGGGGATAGTCGTAGTGTGTGAGGGAAGGTCATGGTGCAGGGGAGGATTTTGGTGATGGAGAGGGTCGTGGTTTATGAGGAAGGTTGTGGTGTTGGCGAGGGTCGTCGTGTGTGAGGAAGATCATAGTGTTGGGGTGTCATGTGGGTTTCGAAAACGTGGATAGGGTAAAAATACTCACGTAGGCTGGTGGTACTTATATTATAACGGAAGTGTGGAAAAGCGCCAACAGCCGAACCTGCCTCTCTCTGGCTCCCTGACTAGATTGACTAACTCACAGTGCCCATATGTGAGGGGGGTGTTTGAAATCCCGCTATGGTCAGCAGCAATATGAATACAGTCAGTGATTCACGCAGAGACGGTTGGTAGTGAGTCATCTACTGGTACACTGGTTACTGGTAACTGGTTACTAGGAACTGGTACTACTACTGAGAGCTCGGCGACGCTAACGTATGTCGTCCCGACATACAACTAATACAAACTAGAGATGGCAGGTATACGGCTTGGGCTGATTCTATACAATGTCAAAGTACACAACAATTGAACATTATAACATACATAAGTAGAACTTTGAATGAAGCTTACGTAACTGAAACTGTAATGCAATACAAGGTATAATATAGCACAATCCATCGAATGAAACTCAACGTTGGGATTACACAA